GATATGAACAGGAAAGTTGCAATCGATGGGTTAACGCTGACCTTAGTGCACCTGCGATGCGCATATCGCGATTCAAATTTCCCCTATGTACATGCCTGAGGTGCAAGAAAGAAACACAAGTGTTTTATATTATTTCAAGTCCAAGTATTAATGTTTCCAACAATATTGGTTTGGCTTCAATTCAAAACTCAGCGAATATTTATTGGCATGCAAGTCTATACATATATAAATATACGATATATTGATCTATTAAATAGCCTTGTCCGATGTGTATCTCGACATTTTTCTCAAATATCGTCCACTTGCACGGAGGTTTACAGAGTGAATAACCAATCACAAGAACAACATATAAAATAATTAACGAGTACACTCACAATTAGAGGTGCGAAGGAGAGCACACCACCATTTGAGGCGTCAAGATTTATGAACTCGACTTCTCACCTTAGATTTCACCTACTGCGATCAGAAACAGAACAGCAACAGCTTTTGTGAAGAAAAATCATAGAGATGCTCGTCAAAATTAGGTCATTTTAGACTATAAAATGGGTTTAAATTACTTACAATAGCTTCAACATGTCGTTCAATCAAAATATCAATGATTCCAACTACTACGCCGTCATCAGAATTAGGTATGTATTTGATGACGGATTCGATGCATTCTTAGTTATACCAGCACTTTTAGAACTTCTACGTTGTTCCGGATGAAAGACAGTTGTACGGAATGAACTACCAGGTAATCAGTGTAAAAATGTTTTTTTTAAATGTCAAGCTAAAAGCCAAATTTGCTCCTTAGACGTCTGTTTACTTCCAACAACAACACTATAGACATCCACTCCAGAACATCACAAAATAAACAAAGAAAATAGATAAGGCTTAACACTAGTACTAAGTTCAGGCTATAAATGAAAATCAAGTAAGCAGCCGGGACCACAACATCGTGTGGAAGTAGACCCACCAACAGAAAGAAGAGAGAGACCTCTATATAGGGGTGTGAAGGAGGTAAGTAAGAAAGGAGTTCATAAGGTTTTAATTTATGATATTCCAGGAAGCTGCTTAACCTACATTTTCAATATGCGAGGAAAACAGCAAAACCGGACACAAGCACATACGTGTGCATGTATTGCAAGAAATTAAAGAAATACACCGCCATAATGGTAAGGATTGAAAAAGAAATACAGCGCCATGATGGTAAGTAAGAAAAATTTTCATTTATTTTAGGTAAAGGGAGAGGACTTTCTTGACGATCCTGTCATGCTCGATCATTCATGCCTTCCAGTAGAGCGTACGCGAGATAAAGCGGAAAGACTTTCTTAGAAGGTATCAAAGTTATGCAAATTGAAGTGTGAATTTTTAATTATCCTCTTAGAGGGCCTTCAAGATGTCGAAAAACCCCAATGCATCTTTATTGCCGTCGATCCAGTGTTGGCTCAGAACCGCCGACGATATAGAAACAATGTCATGAGGAGGTGAGACATCATCGCGATATATGTTCATGATTAATGTTTATATTCTTTTGATTCTTCAGATGCACAAAAGAGGATGTCCGTTTTGATATTGCAAAAGAGGTTGCAAATGTAGGAGGTCCGCTTACTCCAGGTTAGAAGTTTATTAGTGTGCGGTACTCATTTTAAGCAATTCTGAGTTAGAGCCGTCAAAAAGACTATTCAAGAAATCGACATGCTACGTGTACCAGACGAGTCGCTACCTCTCAGATGGAGCCCTTTTTTGCAACTACAAGAACAGGAAATGCACATTTACCTTTCCGATGAAGTGACGAAGCTTGCCGTTGACGCGGGTTTCTATGCCCTTATTGGCGATGGGATCCACCAGCTTAACCGGCGTAATAAGCGGGGATCTCGCACACGTGTAGAAAAGGGCCAGGTTTACACAACTCTTGGAGTCTGTAGGGGCGGAAATGAGGTAGGATTTACTTTAGAAATGAGGGAAGAAGATTCTGAAAACAGTTTCTACCGCTTATGTTCACCATAACGCGCAATAAGCGTGAACAGGGTTACATGGTGATCTTCCAGCAATTGAGGGAAGCACTTGTACGTGCCAACGCGGAGTCAGAAGAATTGCAACTCAGATTCATTGTTAACTTCGAGATGGTACTTTTTCAGCCATATTCCCTGCTGTATCATATGTATTTATATTCTATATTTTAGGCAACAATTAACGCAGCGCGACGAGTGTTCCCTCGCTCCTTGTCTTCCGTGCGTTCACCTCGGTGGCGAAGGCAACTCTGAAAAGGATGGAGGCGGTATGTTGATTTGAGTCCAAATCTACATTTATCACATACACCTTTTCAGTTTCCTCACGAAGAAAGAATTGAGAAGAAGAGATAGAGAACGTAGGGAGAAAGTGGATCGCGCAATGGCTACTTTTGAAGAACTTCGAAGTGGACCATACCTCACCTCCGTGCAAGTGGACGATATTTGAGAAAAATGTCGAGAACACATCGGACAAGGCTATTTAATAGATCAATATATCGTATATTTATATATGTATAGACTGTTGCATGCCAATAAATATTCGCTGAGTTTTGAATTAAAGCCAAACCAATATTGTTGGAAACATTGAAATACTTGAACTTGAAATAATATAAGACACTTGTGTTCCCTTTCTTGCGCCTCAGGCATGTACATAGGGGAAATTTAAGCCGCGATATGCGCATCGCAGGTGCACTAAGGTCAGCGTTAACCCATCGATTGCAACTTTCCTGTTCATATC